ATATTTAACTTTATTTACAAAAATTCATTTATTTATTTACTGTATACAAAGTGATAATCACATCATCTACGAGGATTTATTATCCCATACTATGATGTACTGAATTTAAATCTCAATGAAGATTCTTGAAATCCCTCATTAGACTTAAATATTTTATTAATTTAAATTATATATAAAAAAGAGTTAATTTTAATGATGGGTCTTTGAAACCCATATTATTATATACAAAATTAATTCTCATACTTGCAAAATCTTATTGATTTTCACGATATTGGATCATTTTAAATGCCTATGGAGATTCTTAAAATCTCACACAATAAATAGATAATCAAGATATTTGCATTTGCAATCGATGCATAATATTATGATTGGCTAAATAATTCATGCAATAAAGGCAATGGAAAGAAGAGAGAAATAAAATATTTTGACATTCCACTCCCTCTTTTGACATAAGAATGTATTCTTTAAGGTTTTTTTTTCTTTAAATAGGCTTAATGCTCAAATAAGGCTTTTGAAAGGAAATAATGAGAGTAGTGGTAATAGCATCGAACAATTAAAATTAACAAGATCCACATGTCATCATTACCATCAATCACCCAATTTATCTTCCATAGAAATCAAAATCAAGCTGATGTCTCGACTTTAAGAAATAAAGAGATAAAAAATTAGATTCGGTTCATATGCTCTTTTATGCTATAAAAAGTATATTTTAGATCTAATTTAACTTGGTCTAATAAGAATATGAATTTTTTCAATTCTCCTTTTATATATTTTAACAAACATCTTACGGGAAACAATATTCACACAATAATACAAAGCTATTTTCTCTTCAAATATTTTTTTTAAATATCCATTATCAATATTTAAACTTTCAAAGCTTCCAAATCTCCTGGTTTTCAACACGAGTGAATTCCTCTAAAGAATTAGTCCCTTAATGGCATAATCAATGCAGAAACTCAGGCACATATCTATTGCAAGAAGAGAAGGGAGGAGGGGTTCAGCTTACTAGAAAAGAAAACCTAAACAGACAAATGAAGGATAAGGACTGAAGCCTCTTCACGCACTCCATAGATGATCCAGCAGAAGGGAGAAAAATCCTCTTCAGTCTGTCTCTAATGCATCTCCTACTCTGTTTTCACTCAGTTTTCTCGTCCTTATTTCTCCCTCACGGTCTCTCTCTTCTCTTCCTCATTTTTCTTCTCCTTTTCCATTGTTCTCTAATCCATTTTTTTCATGCTCTTTCCTTCTGTGCTCTTTTTTCTGATGCATTTTCTCATCCTTGTTTCTCCCTCTCGGTCTCTCTCTCTTTTTCTCCTTCCTCCTCTTCACGGGCTCTATTTCTCGTATGGTCCATGCTCTGTTTTTCTTGCTCTTTATCTTTTTCAGGTCTCTCATGCTTCTTCCTCATTCTCGGTCTCTCTTCTGATCTCGGCCTCTTCTGCTCCAAGGCTTCATGCATGCGTACGCATGCTTCCCTCTTCTTTTAGTCTCTCTTTTCTTTTCTCTCTATTTCTCGATCATTTTCCATCTTCTCTCTTTCTCCTCTCTGTCTTTATTTTTTTCTATCTCTCCCTCTCTTTAGAAGAAAAAATCTCTTTGCCCAGAATCAGCTCCCCTCTCCCCAGTCTCTTGTGCTCTCTCTTATATTCAAAACTAAAAGAAGGAAAAACAAAACAACTTACCTTTTGTGTGGCCGAAAACATGCTTTACTCTTTGTTCTTTCACGTGTCTAGCAGGCTCTGCCTTTTCTAGCACTTCTCTAATCCGGCTGTGGTTGTGTGTGTGTGTGTGCTTCCCTTTTTTTTTTGTTTTGTTTTGTCATGTCTCCTCTGATCTTGTTGAAAAGGTTTGAGTCTTTTGGCTATGTGTGTGTGCTTCCTTTCTTTTTTTCTGTTCTGTCTTTTCTTGCACTCATCTACTTCCTTTCCTTTTCTTTCTGTCATGTCTGGTATTCATGTGCTTTTGCTTTCGTGTGTATGTTGTTGTTGCATGTTTCTGTTTCTTTTCTTCACCAAAGGTGTGAATTTTTTGCTTTGGCTGTACCCAGCCTTGTATATTTTTTGGTTTCTATTTTCTTTTTTTTAAATTAAAACACACACACACACACACACACACATGTATATTTTTAGATGAAAAATAAGATTTAAGAAGAGAAATTTAACTTTCAAAAGTTGACTCCCAATATTTTAAATGATTGGGATAATTTGTGAGAGATTTTAAAAATTTAAGCAAGATTATTATTATTATTATTATTTTGAAAATATAATCCTAAAAAAAGGATTAAATTTCATTTTTGCATTTTTATATTTTTTTTGGTTATTTATTTTTATTTTTGTTAAATTAGAAAATGCCCGGACAAAATATGATGTTCACAAGCATAAACTTAAATACTTGAGGTGCATAAATTCAATGAAAAATGTAAACCAAAGCAATTTGATCCTTAACAAGATATATGACATCAAATTAATTTAGTTAATCTAATCAGAATTAATGAATGAAATTTGAAATCATAACAAGAAACAAAATCAAATTTGAGCTACACAAAATCAAAATCACAAAATCTAAAACTCAAGTGAAATTTCATCATCTTGGAGAATCCTTGAAGGTTTAGCCTCTCGTCTCACTCTCCATAGCTACTAACTAAAGGAAAGAATCAAAGAAGTTGCCATAGATGAATGCTTTGAAGAAACTAATCTAGACAAACCAAAACCAAGAGGAAAATTTGTGTGAATAGTATGGCCGAACTCGAATTAAGAGAGAAGCTATAAAATGGTGTGCGACAAGCTGAACTGAGATAAAGATGTGCGATGATTCTGTGCAACTGAACTAGAGGCAAGAAGAGGTATGTGTGGTGGCGAGAATGAATGGCCGAACTCATCAAGACGATAATGTGTGTGCTCAAGCTCCTTTTTCCATTCATGTTCTGCTTCTTTCTCTTTTCTTCTTCTTCTTCTTTTTTTCTCCTTTCTGCATTCCCTCCTCTTTAAAAAGTCAAAACTATGATTTAAAATAAAATTGATCAAATTACCAAATTGGCCCTCTAATGCTTAAAGATGCAAAATAAACAAAACTAAATTAATCTAATAAAATTGAACTAAACAAAATCTTAAAAATGAGAATAAAAATTGCCTAAGTAATAAAATGTGTCAAGGAATCAAAATTTCAAATTAAAAATAATTAATTTTAATAAAATGTGCAAAATGACTGAAATGCCCTTATTATCAGAACTCAATGCAAATGAGCCTATGATCAAATTCAATGCTAAAATAATTCATATAAGGGTCTAAACTAATAAACTATGGTCATAAATGTGAAACAAGTGTGCAATATATGTGATGTACTAGTTCCCTTTTGGTATTAAAGGTCTATAAGGTAGCCTTTAAGGTTGCCTTGTAAGCCATGATAGCAAACAAAGAGGAGCAAAAACAAGGGTACTTCTTGATGGAAATAGAGAATACAACTGAGGAAGAGAATACTTTGGGAGGATCTGAATGATGAATAGTAGAGTGCACCACCTAATAGATGAGGGAGGCTTGTTTTAGTGCCAGACCCTAAACATTAGATGCATTTGTGCATCTTGGTATAAAGTGGTAGGTCATGATTGGAATTAAGGACCGAATAAAGTCGTACTACTTGAGTAGGGGAAGATTGAGACGCATGATTAGAGTGTTGAACCCTAGTTTTGATTATTACAAAATAAAGAAAAATTTTGTGTGCTTCAAGCTTTCATAACTAAAATCTAGTTAATTGGCTTAACGTTAATCAAATTTGACTAAGTGAGAGTCTATACATAATAGAAAGCATGCTATTTTGTTAGTTAAGTATTTGACTTAACTATAATCTTTATGCTTGAAGTTATCTTGTTCTAAAGTGTTTTTATGTGTTGTTAGCACTGGTATTGAAAGCCTTAATGCTAATGCTACCTTAGTTAGCACTGGTAAATCACTTGCGTCAAGCTCTGCTCATTTAACTCTCGTGATTGGTGATTTCATTCCTTCATGTCACTTATTATTACTGCAATTCATTTAAATTTTTAATTAGCTTAATTCACCCCCTCTTGGGGCATTTACATGAAGCACAACTTGAGAGAGCCAAGATGCACTTTTTAGCACCTTGCGTCTTAAAGAATAAAGTTGCACAGAGTTGCACACTGTTCAGGATGAAGTCACATGAGCGATAGAGATTTAGGTACAGGCCGATGGCAGATTTGATACCATGAACATTTTTGTGATAAATTGTTGTTTATTCAAGAGAAAAAGAAAGCATTTATAGAGTACAAGAGATATGATAATTATATCATATCAGAGAAATAAAATCTAATCACTAATATTATGCTGAAAAGATAATAACAAATAATAATAAATTTAGGGTTAAGATAATTAATGGGCTTAGGACCCATCAGCTTACTTTCAACACAAGTCTCCTTCTAAAGGATAATTATAGAATTTTTATTTTTAGTTTTTGTTGTATTATGGTGCATCTGATGGTAGAGGCACAGTCACCTAATTTAGGCCTTGTTTGTTTAAGAGCTTTAAGATGTGATGGTATTTTTTTATTTGCTTTAGACTTTAGTAATTCTACTTATGGTTTCCCCTTTGTCCCTATCTTGTTTCTGTTTCAGTAATGATGTGGTATATGATTGCATTCCAAGATGTTTTGATTTGTGTATTTCAATGATTCTTTTCCCTTATGATGATGACCCTAATTTTTTTTAATGAAATAATTTTTTTTATGAAATAATTTATCTTACAATTGATATTTTAATTATTTAATTTAGTTCTATAGAAAATGGAGAAGAGTGGCTTAGTGAAACTTGTGTTGGTTGTTTGCTTGACTCCAGAGTAAAAATAAATAAATAAATACTTTATTTTGTCTTAGAAAATTACCAAAATGACCATTTCTTTTATATTATTACAGAAAAATTTTGGAAACTTTCTTATAAATTTACCAATTATTTATTAGCAATAGATTTATTTATTTATTTTTCCTCCCCTGCCATTCGAATGGGAGAGGCATCAGATGAGAGTGAGTGGGCATCGACAAAGAACCCTGTGCCAGAACCTTCGATTCCATCCTCCTTCCTTCACTGTTTCGACGGCCGCCGGTGAGAGTTGGCCGAGTTCCAGTGCTTCTATGGTGTCTTCTTCTCGGCTGTGATTTCTCGTTCTTCCCCATTCTGTGATCGCGTGAATCTACTGTTGCAGAGGTTTGGGTTGCTAGTTAGTGGTTCCTTGCGTTGCCATCGGGCGTTCACTGATTCCTCTTTGCGTCGCCGGAGCTCCTTCCTTCTTCATGTCCGATCTGCAATTTCTCATTCTTCAAGCTTCTGGGTTCAAGATCGGAGGTGAGGGTTCTCGATTCCCTCCTCCTTGTTGGTTCTGTTCGTTGGTGGGTGTGGGTCTTAGATGGGTGTGGGTCTTAGATGTTGATGTTATAATTCTTCTTGTGTGATGGTTGTCCGTGTTTGTGTGGGGAGTAGGAGTTGAGTCAAGCTGGAAATTCTGTATTAAAAGTTCAGTGATGATAATATGTTTTTGAAATTTTTCCTTCGATTGAAATTAATTCTTGATGAGGAATTTGATTGAGTTCAATTGTGGATGTTTGAGAATCTAGTGGGCAAGAGATTATAAGTTACGAAGCCTTATTGAGTGGGTTAGGAAATTATGCACACTAGGTGTTTGATATAATGTCTAAGAGGAAGTTATATCCTTATGGAATAGTTAATTATGGTTAAAGTATTTTGGAGAAACTTTGTGACATAGATGTTCTTCCATAAGTTTGTATCCGATTTTTTTTATTTAGAAGTAGCAACATTTACAAGTCAAATGCTGAAAAATAAAATGAAATAAACAATATCTTATTTATTTTGGCATCTATGCTTGAAATCCAACTTTCTCCATTAATAATGGTGGCTTTCAAATTGTTTTTGTTGCTTTCGTGATAATATGGTTTTTGATTTGTTATTTTACTATCTTGTTTGGTTCATATTGAGGAGTATTTGGTTAGTAATTTCTGAATCAAATTGTTTGTTTTTATGACAACTTTTGGGACACATATATAATGACTAATGAAAGATTTGAGAATCTTGCCTTGTTTTCTTTAACAAACTAAATTGTAAGACTTTGAGTATTTTGCCTCTTTGAACTTTTATGTGAAGTACGTTGGATTTGTGATCATCATCATCATCATCTTCATCTTAATCATTTGTTAGTAAGTTTTAAAGTAAGAGCTTATACTGCATTAGACCTGTCTGCTGATGATGTGATTGATGGATGATTAAGTAATTAAACATACATTATTAAATTATTAGAGTAGAATAGTGGAAGCGTGAAGGGACGCGTTGAACTTTATGGGTTTTGATAGTAATGAAATGTTCTACTTTTTTTTTTCTTTGGAAGTTTGCAAGCATTCATTCTTTTGAATTTCTTTGATTCAATTATGTGCTGAATAGAATTTGAGAATATCAAAAGTTGTTGTAACATAATTATGTTGTTTCCAAGTTGTTAATTTGCTCTTTAGCAAGAGGATAGTCATCTCTTGGCTCCTAGCATATCTAAATGTTAATTCATATTGCGGTATTGTGAGAAATATCAATCTATTGAAGTTTATCATGCAATTATTATTATTATTATTATTTTTACTTAATGCAATGCTTGTTGTGATGTTTATCTTGGGTTAAGTGTGACAAATTCAGTTTTGAATTTGAGACTTTTGCAAGTATTTTTATAGTGATGAGAATCTTTTTATTTCTGAAAGAAATTTTCTACTAGCATACAAAAGTCTACAGAAGAAAGTGTGGAAAAATAGCTTATAGACATGTTTGGATTCTTTTATAGTAAAAACTTTCATATATTGAAAAAAATTGATTTTTGACATGCTCAGGAGAGGAACCAAACAAAGCACGCTTGTTATTTGTGGCCTTCGAGCTCTGCCTGTTATTCGTAGCCTTCTAGCTGCGCCTGATATTCATGGCCTTCGAGCTGCGCCTGATATTCATGGCCTTCGAGCTACGCTTGTTATTCGTGGCTATAAGTTGTGCCGGATTTGTTACTTACCCTCGTGAATTATGTGTCTATGCCTGCTTCTCATGGTCTACGAGCCATACCGGATTGGTGATTTACCCACATGGGTTGTGCACTCGCGACAAAAATCTCGTGCTGTGTGAATTCCTTTAAGGAACTTGTTTTAAAAGAAAAATAAAAATATGTTTTTTTTCTTTTCTAAATTTTTATTTTTGGAAGGGAATTCTTATTATGAATTTTTGGATAAGTTTATCCCATGATTACTTTTACAAAATTTATCTTGTTGCTATAATGAGTTTGAAAGCATGTTTTATACACTTGTTGATAAGAATATATATATATATATATATTCGGTTTATATTACTAGTATTGTTTCAGTAAATATTTATCTATGTCTATGTTTATATATATTTGAAGTATTATCTTATGGTCTTGAGAAAATGACATGATTTGGAATATATATGTGTGTGCATGTTGCTTGATTATGTACTTATTGAATTGTTTGTATTTCAGAGATTAGAGACCATCACCTCCTTCATCTGTATTATAAAGTGGATTCCCATGATGAATAATTGTAAAGCTGAATTTATATTAAATTTGAATTAAAGGCTTGTGGTATTTGATAGTTGTTCCAAGCAAAAGGCAAGGTATCCACATCTTTGTTTTTATTATTCATTAATTAAGGAAATGATTCTTATATTCTATTTGAATTGATTGTTTAATTGTTTTAAATATTTTATTTTAAAGATTTATTGAAAATCTTAAAAAAAAAGTTACAAGTATTATAATATTATTTGAATTTATACTGCTAAAGTGTATAATTTTTTCCAAAAATAATTAGGAACATGTGTTTTGATTAGGCTTGCGAAGCAAGGTTAACCCTGTATTTTGTGCCAGTCATGTTTGATATTTTGGGATGTGATAGTTGTGTTGCCATCTATTATGATTTTTCTTCTTAAAAAATGTTTCTTTCTTTAAAGACCAAGTGCATCTTTTCTCTTTGACGTTTATAGTTAATTTAGATCACTCTAATTTTGATATGGCAGGAGCATTCCAACGAAGTGTGGACTTTGATGAATAAGATCATTGTCTATTAATTGCTATTTAGAGTTAATGCCATACAATGTTATGTTGGTTGTTTAATGTTGCTAGTTTGTGGTTTCATCCATGGATATCAGCAAGGATTCATTTGTCAGTAGAAGTTTAGTCTGGTAAATATAAAGTTGAAATGGGTAAATGATAGGGCATTGGATTTTGTTGTTACTAGTCATAGAGGTCTTAAGGTAGTGGAGATTCTTGTTTCGGTTATTTTTTCTTCGGGATGTCTTCCCATTTACCATTTATCTCGTTATTATGGACAGCTTGGTCTTCCCCATGACCTGAAGCCCTCCACATTTATCCAGAGTTATCCTAATATATTTATTGAATCCTACATTTTTGATAGTAGGGGTTCTCGTGTCCCATGTTTCAGCTTAAGTCCTGGAGTGTTGAAAGTCTATCTAAGAGAAAGTTAACATCTATTAGCAAAATCAGTTGGAATTTAGGGATAGGCTTTGCAAATTGCTTATGCTCACGAAAGATAGGGTCCTTCCAATACAAACCATTGACTAATTAAAATGGGATTTGGGGTTACTATATGATTACCAGCATTCTTTTGTTCCAAACCATCGTGAAAGGTTCTCCGTTGTTTGCCTCCCTGATGATCGCATTGGCTTAAAGTTGTTATATTGGGATGAATCGCTTACTATCTCTAAGTTACAAAAGAATGCTTCTATCCAACAAAAGGAAGATGACATAAGAAAAGGATCATTAGCATTTCCAATTAGTTTTTACTAGGGGTTTTAGGTTGAGAAGGAAATGCATGGAATGGTTGAATGAGTGGCAGGAACTTCCCTTTACTTCTTACTTGGATGTCTTTCATTTGGATCCTCGTATTGATGTTTGTGAGAAGAGGATAGTTGGAGTTTTTCATAAGCTCCTTTACCTTACAGTTCATTAAAAAAAAACTGAGCGTAAGAATTTTAGCAACTTCCGAAAATGCTTGGGATTACCTCAAAAGTTCACTAGAGTATTTGACCATCATCTAGGAATTTTTTTTATATTTCTAAGAAAGGCAACACTCAAACAATTATTCTTAAGGAGGCCTACAATAGTCCAAAACTTATGTGGAAACATTCCCTTGTAATGATTAAAGAGGATGAAATGAAAAAATAAAAGAGCAGAAGCAGAAGTCACATAATGGAGCGCAATAAACTCTCCATAACCTCCCCTTCATTTGTGTAACCCCCTTTTTACTTGTATGCTTTAGTTTCACGATCTTAGTACTATAAATAGGGCTTTTGTTGCCTATACAATGCACCTCAGTTTGAAAAGAAAAAAGATGTGTTTGTTTTCCATTCAGTTTCTGTGCCATTTTGGTATCAGAGTTGGTTCAGGGAACGAAAGAGTAAGATAGAGTTGAGGAACTGTCGGATGGGAGAGCAACTCAGAGGAAGAGTCGTTGACTTATTTGAAACATACATTTTGGACGTTTTCTCCAGAAACTAACGTCACCATCGCACTCAGGAGGTTCAAAAACATGGAATAAGAGGTTCCCCGTTGTCGAAAAAGTCTACACGTGCCTCCACGCGTCGTTGCCCGAAGACCACGCGTGGTTGCCGTCTCCACACGTGCCGCATGCGCCAGTCGAAGGTAGAAGACGATGACGTCATTTGCCACGTCATCAATCTGATCGGTCAACGACAGGTCAAACCAATCACTTTATGCAACGTGTCATAGTCGCCATGTCATCTTGCCCAGTCAGCCATATCTTTTGAAATTACATTTTTTCCCCAAATCTTTCCATAATCCCATATTGACCTCTTAAGTTTATGAAATTTCATATTGACCCTAAAAGTTTTTGAAATTACACTTTCCCCCCTCAATTTTACCTAAATTTTGTTTTGACCCTTATATTTTCTAACCCCCACACATCCAGAATCTCCATTTTTACTTCTAGAGTGTCTCGAATTCCCATTCTACTCCTATAACTTTTTTAACATTTTCATTTGCACCTCAATCATTCTAATATCCTTAGCCTTGACACTTATCAAAATGCCTCCAAGACGCCGATATGTGCATGAGATTGAGATGGAAGAGATGAGATGTAGGATACAAGAGTTGAAAGCCATTGTGGAATTGCAGCGGAACTTTGTTAAACAACAATAGAGAAAACATAGAGGGAGATTCGGGAAGCAACAGTTCGTCATCCACTAACAACCGTCGCCGTCCACGATAATAACAATTCCGCCCTAGTGATATCAAGGTAGACATTTTTAAATTTGAGGGAAAACTCCAGTCAGACGAGTTTGTAGATTGGCTGCAAACAGTTGAAAGAGTATTTGAATATAAGGAGATTCTAAATGCGCAAAAAGTCAAAATTGTCGCACTTAAACTCAAGAAACATGCTTCTATTTGGTGGGAAAACCTCAGACGGAAGTGGGAACGTGAGGAAAAGAGCAAGATTAACACTTAGAAGAAAATGAAACACCAACTCATTAGGAAATTTCTGCCAAATCATTACCACTAGGATAATTTTATCCAACTGCAAAATCTTCGACAGAAATCTTTATCCGTAGAAGAATATATTAGAAAATTTGAGTAACTCATGATGAAGTGTGACATTCAAGAGAAGGAGGAGCAAATAATAGTCAGGTACCTTGCAGGCTTAAACACAGATATCAGTTGTCTAGTCTAGTTTTAGCAATATTGGACCTTAGATTATGTCATCCATCTAGCCATGCGTGTTGAGAAGCAAACACCTAAGAGATCCACTTTCCAGCCTTTGTTCTCTAGGGGTTATTTAGAAGGCTGTAAGGCGGAATTTCAGCAGACCAACTCCTCAAGCAAGTGGCAATCTATTACTATGTGCAAACTACCATTCAATACTGCCAAGGTATCTGACTCTAAAGTAATCAAATGCTTTAAATGCCAAGGAGTTGGCCACATTGCTATGGACTGTCTTACTCGAAGGGTTGTCAACATTAGGGAAGGACCCGAGTATGAAGCACTTGAAGGAGTTGAGGAGGACGTCGAGTTCTACGGCACCCGTATATGATGAGGAAGTCACGCTTGCTGATCAGGGAGAAGTATTGGTGCTTAGATGAAGTCTGCATACAACTATAGTCAAAGAAGAACCTTGGCTACGACGCAACATTTTTCACACTCGTTGCACAGCCCAAGAAAAAGTTTGTAATGTCATCATTGGCAGTGGAAGCTGTGAAAATGTAGTCTCTGACTACATGGTGGAGAAATTGAAGTTGCCAATACAAGATCATTCGCAACCTTACAAGCTTCACTGGCTTAACAAAGGGAATGAGGTAAAAGTTTCTAAACAATGCCTTGTGACCTTTTTTATTAGGAATTGATATTGCGATGAAGTTTTATGTGATGTTCCCATGAATGCATGCCACCTTCTCTTGGGAAGGTTATGACAATATGACCGACATGCTATGAACAATGGGTGAGCAAACACCTATTCTTTTATGAAAGATGGTGTCAAGTTTACACTAGCGCCTCTTTCGCCTAGCGAGATTAGCTAATCTTCAAGGGAATTTAGCGCCTTTAAGCCATTAGTATCCTTGATGACTAAGGAGGAATTCAAGGTGTCGAAGTCCGAAGCCCAAATGATGAGCTTTATTCTGGTGGTTGAGGTGAACGATGAGTCAGCCAATCCACCAGAAGTTATTCCGTTATTGTTGGAATTTTCAGAGATATCTGATGAAATACCACCAGGGTTGCCTCCCGTGCGAGACATACAACACGCCATTGACTTCATTCTAAAAGCAGCCATTCCTAACAAGCCTGCTTACAAGATGAATCCTCAAGAATATGTCGAAGTCCAATGACAAGTTGAAGAGTTGTTGAAAAAAGGGTTAGTTTGAGAAAGTATCAGCCCTTATGCTGTACTTGTTCTTCTAGTACCTAAGAAGGATGGGAGTTGGAGAATGTGCATTGATTATTGAGCCGTCAACAAGATCACTATTAAGTATCAATTTTTGATACCTTGGCTTGATGATATGCTAGACCAGTTGCATGGTGCCACTACTTTCTCCAAAATTGACCTTCATAGTGGATACTACCAAATCAAAATTCAGTCAGGAGATGAGTGGAAGATTGCTTTTAAGACAAGAGAAGGCTTATACAAGTGGAATGTGATGCCTTTTAGGTTAAAAAATGCCCCTAGCACATTTATATGCCTGACGAATCAGGTATTGAGACCCTTTATTGGCAAATTTGTTGTTGTGTACTTTGATGGTATTCTTATTTACAGCAAAAATCAAGAACATTTAGATCACCTGCGATAAGTTTTGCAAGCCTTGCGTGAACAGAAGCTTTATGCAAATCTCAAGAAGTGTACCTTTCTCACCAGTGAAGTTGTGTTCTTGGGCTATATCATTATAGTAGAGGGCGTTCGAGTTGATCCAAGCAAAGTTGTAGCCATTGACAGCTGGCCAATTCTAAAATCTATCCAAGAGGTTCGAAGCTTCCACAGATTAGTTTCTTTCTATAAGAGGTTTATCCGCAATTTTAGCTCTATTGTTGCACTACTTACAGATTGCACCAAAGGAGAGAAGTTTCAGTGGACAGAGCAAGCTCAGAAAAGCTTTAAGGAGTTTAAGAAGAAGTTGATTGAAGCTCCAGTCCTAGCTCTTCCTAATTTTGACTAAGTGTTTGAAGTTAGCTGTGATGCTTCTAACACCGGCATTGGTGCTGCCTTAAATCAGGAGGGCCATCCCATTGCCTTTTTCAGTGAGAAGCTCAATGATGCCAAGCTTAGGTATTCTACCTATGACAAAGCATTTTATGCCATTGTTTGAGCTCTCCAATATTGGAGTCATTATCTCCTGAATAAAGAGTTCGTACTTTTTTCTGATCATGAGGCTTTCAAGTATTTGAATTCTTAGCAGAAGATCAACCGCAGACATGCCCATTAAAGTGAACTTTTACAGTCTTATTCGTTCCTTATCAAGCGTAAGGCTGGAACTTTGAACTCCATAGCTGATGTTATTAGCCATCGACACATGCTACTCACAACACTGCAAACTAAAGTTGTTGGGTTTGACCTTGTCAAAGAGTTGTATCAAGGTGATCTTGATTCCGAGGAGTGTGGGAAGCAACTGTAAATCAACCTTACCACCAGTTCTACAGACACAACGGGTTTCTATTTTGAAACAAAACTCTATGCATTCCACAGGGTTCTTTGAGAGAAGCCATAATTTAGGAAGCACATGACGGTGGATTAGCTGGACATTTCGAACGGGATAAAACAGTTGACCTAGTGAAGGAGAACTTTTACTGGCCTCAACTTGAATAAGATGTCAATAGGTATATATAGAGATGCAAAATTTGTCACTTGGCCAAATTTAAGGGTCAAAATACTAGATTAGACATGCCTTTGCCAATTCCAAAAGCACCTTGGGAAGATGTAACTATGGATTTTGTTCTGGGTTTACCACGAACTCAGGGGCAAAAAGATTTTGTCATGGTGGTTGTGGATCGTTTTTCAAAAATGGCCCATTTCATTTCATGCCAGAAGACTAATGATGCTGTTCAAGTAGCAGACTTATACTTTAATGAGATTGTGCGTCTTCATGGCATTTCCAAGATTATCACTTCTGACTGTGATGTGAAGTTTCTTAGTCAATTTTGGCGAACACTATGGAAGAAGATGGGAATTAAGCTCCAGTTTAGCAGTGCTAGTCATCCCTAGACAGACAGTCAAACTGAAGCTATAAATAGGATTCTTGGTAATCCTCTTCGCAGTTTCGTGAGGAAGAATTTAAAACAGTGGGATCTTGTTCTTACTCAAGTTGAATTTACCTACAATAACTTTGTTAATTAAGTAACTGGGAAGTGTCTGTTTAAAGTTGTTTACGACACTCATCCTATTAGTCCACTAGACTTAACCACTTCACTTGATAAGCAGCAATATAGTTCTGATGCTAACCAAAGGGCTCAGGAAATCAAGAAGTTGCATAAACAAGTTCATGCACGAATACAGAAGCAGAACTTGAGAGCGAAGACTCAACGTGACAAGCATCGAAAGTATTAAATTTTTAACGTGGGCGATTTGGTTTGGATACATTTATGGAAGGAGCGATTTCTTAAACAACCAAATGCCAAGTTATCCTCGAGAGTTGATGGTCCGTTCAAGATAGTGCAAAAGATCAACAACAATGCTTACAAGATGGAATTATCTGGTTCTTATGGTATATCTGCCACCTTCAATGTCGCTGATCTATCTCCTTACATTGATGAAGATGATGAATTTGGCTCGAGAGGGAGTTCTGTCAAACTCGAGGAGGATGAAGCGGAAAAATAAAAGAGCAGAAACACATAATGGAGCATAATAAACTGTCCATAACCTCCCCTTAATTCCTGTAACCCTCCTTTTGCATGTATGCTTCAGTTTCACAATCCTAGTACTATAAATATGGCATTTGTTGCTTGTGTAATGTACCTTAGTTTAAAAAGAATAAAGAAATGTTTGTTTTCCATTTAGTTTCTGTGCCAGAGGAATTTGCAATCATGTTAAAGAAAGGGTTGCTCTAACGGGACAGCAAGAGCATAAAGTTGGAGTAGCAGAGATGAGAATGTTACGATGGATGTGCGGACATACACGTAAAGATAAAATTCGAAATGAGCACGTACGCGAAAAAGTGAGGGTGGCACCTATTGAGGAAAAAATGGTAGAAAATCGGTTGAGATAGTTTGGGCATGTACAAAGAAGACCAAGGGAGGCACCAGTGAGAAGAGTGGAACATATAACTCTGAGTCCGATTAAGAGAGGTAGAGGAAGGCCTGAGAGAACACTCTTGGAAGTTGTTGAACGCGATCTCTTAATTAATAATATTCCTAAAAGCTTGATAAATGATAGAGCACAATGGCGTCTTGCAATCCATGTAGCCGACCCCACCTAGTGGGATAAAGGCTTGTTGTTGTTGTTGTTGTTGTTGTTGTTGTTAAAGAAAGGGTTGCTCGATACGAGTAGGGGTTTTTATAAAAAAGATGTAATTGTTGGGTAGGAGTAGAGGTTTATACAAAAAATTGTGAAAAAGGATTTCCAATGATAATGAATTTATTCTACACAGTATTGAGGATGAGGTAGAGTTTGGTATGCTTTATGCTGTGATTCAGATATGCATTTTTGTTTACAGTGTTTGTATTTAGGATTCGCTATGTCCAAATAATTTAGGAATGCTCCATCTTGCTTAGCATGTGACCTAGTTTAACATCACAAGTTACTATTATTGGGCATGCTACCAGGTATTCAGAGATATGTGCAAGCTCTAGTAATTACCATCTATTCACAATATTTAGTCCAAACCTTTCCATATGCTTTGGTGTGTTATATGCTCACCAATAATAACATCCATTTCTTCTTCTAAGTTTCTCATCATAGTGTTTGTGATATGTTGCAAATTGCAAGTTCCCAAGTTTCTCCTGTAAATTCTTATCAGCTTTTGAACAATTTATTTGTTATTCTTTTAAGTTGATTGGTTGATTGATTTTAATTTCTGGTGTGTTTATGAGTTTCGAAATGTTAGGAAATTGCTATTTTTTGTTTTGCTGTTTGACATTTATGTTGTTACTAAATTCTTTGTTGATGTGTGTTATTTTACAGATTACTTATGATATCAAGGAAACTTTATTTTTAAAGGACAAGTGGCTAAAGTATGTTGGGGATCGATGGAGGGGCTTTAAGTCCAAACTTACTAGAAAATATGTGGTTCCTAAGAGTTGTAACAAAAATGATGATAGTGATAATGATGTCAATATGAAAAAACCTTGGAAGAAATATCCATTCATTGCTTATGACACGTGGATGAAATTTGTTCATGGTAGACGCAATCCTAAATTTTTTGTAAGTGAAACAAGAATATCATAATTTATTTAGTATTAATAAAAATTCATTTTTAACAAATGCTTTTCATTATTTTTTAACAAGAAAAAAGTCAAAAAGGGTAAGAGTGTTGAAGGAAAAATCTATGCAACCATATTATGTCTCAGGGAGGATATGCATATATTTTAATATTTATAATATAATGACTTAGGAGAAGTGAGAAGCGAAAAGACAAGCGGTGGGGGTTGATAATATTGAAGATGTTTCTCCATCTCCTATTAATCGTGCTCAAGCATGGAAGAGAGGACGGATAAACGAAAAGGGAGAGTTTATTTCCCTAGAGGCTAGAGAAGTGATTGAGAAAATTGTACGTATCTTTACAGTCAATATCTTTATCATATGATTAAAATTTTTTAACTATATTGATTTCTATTTGCTTGCATGTTCTAGGATGCTCTTACAGAAGCATCTTCTGATGGGACCTTTATGTCTACTAGTAGGAAGGATATATTGACCATGGCCTTAGGAAGTGAAGAGCACCCCGGTCGTGTTAGGAGGTTCCGAAAGGTGTGGGCTTAAGAGAATATTTTGGACCTCCACCATCTAGTTTTGTGCTAATACGACAAGTGCAAATGATGATAGTAGAATGTAAGTCAAGCATGATGATGGAAATGTAATCAATGATTAGCAATCTGCAGATGCAACCACAACAAGCACCGAAATATGATGGTGTTACAGAGCTAGTGTGTGATCCTAACCTATGAAATCAAGGAACTTCATACATACTTTATGTGGAGGATCAATGGCAAATGAATAGTTGCATATGGAAAAGTGTATAACAATGCAATTATAATCTACCACCAGCAGATACAACATAACCAAGTAAAAGTAATGGTTAAAGAGGTTGTGGATGCTAATGCTCTTGTTCTATTCTCTACTGGGGAGGTGCAAACAATAGGACAAGCTCAGTATAATTTTATTATTTGGTTGAAAAAGCTAGTCCGACAGGTTACTGAAGAGGTATAAAAATATTACAATTTTTTATTGTTAATTAATATCATAGGTATTTCTAATTTTCATTATATATTAATCATAGAAAGTTTACAATTAAAAGAATCTTTGGGCTCCAATCCTCAATCAGTGCAAGATAATTTGAAACGATTGGCTTCGGTGGTGGTTGACATGGATGAATTTTCTAATGAAATAAACATAATCAAAAAGATTTTTGGGAAGCATATTATGTTTAGAGTCGTCAGAAAAGACATTAATAATCTTATTATTTTTGAGTGGTTAGACTTGGGAATAATTCAAAGTTGTATCATGTAAGTAGTCATATTTATTTCTAAATTAATATTTAATATTTGTTTATTGCTAACGTATTTCTTATTATCAAAGGTACCTCTACAAGATATGTACTAAACTCAGTGTTGATAGTAATTATGGGTTTTTGTCTCCACTTTTAACTGCATGTGGCAAAGTGAACCAAAAAGCTTCTTATATTAGAAAGATGATGTGCAAGCAAAAGAAAATGTGCTAGTTTTTACCAATTATTGAGAGGTATTAAATTTTAAATTCATCCCTTAGTTTATAAAGAAATTTTCTTAATGATGTAATATTAATATAAATTAATATATTATAGTCATCATTAAATGTTTCCTATCATTTGCCTATATGAAAATACTATATATTAGTTTTGTTCACTACAAAGGAAAATAAACGACGATATGAAGACTTTGATCGAATTATAAGTTTTTGAATAATTTTATTGTGTTATTAATAATATATATTTAATATTCTTAAAGTTTTCTAAGTGTGTATATTTGGTAAATAGACCTTTAGTGACATGTTGGAAATTAGCAGGAATGGTTGATAAGAAAAAAAATAAAATCAAGTGGGTGCCAATGCAAGTAAGTAGTTCAATTTTATTTTCTAATTACAGTAAAGATTATAGTATTGATATAATAAATTTAATTATTTTTATTTTCTTCATAGTGTCCTCAACAACTAGGAAGTATAGAATGCAGTTATTATGTGATGATTTTCATGTATGAAATCATCACTCAGGGTATCACTCACTCATTTGGTCAGGTAATAATTTGTTAATAATGATTTATAATTATGATGTTTGTTGTATACTTAAGTTATTATTCATACATATATTACTATTTAATTTGCAGCACTTCTAAAGTTTAGAGCCATATTTTAATCAAGGGTTGAGACATATTCACAATATGTCGCCTAGGTTTTTCTTAGAATTAATAGGATTAGGGTAGAAACTTTCTAGATATTTGTATTGAAAATGTAGACTTTTAGTTCATATATTTGTACTAGTGTCTGGAGTTACTGTTTATATATTAATGCAAGTTTTGTAATCAAAGGAAGTATATATTTATTTGTGATCTGTAAAAAAAAATACAGTATTTACAGCCACATTTATTGCTATAACTATGGTAAAAGATGATATATGGCGACAGTTATAGAAACAACTATCGCCATATATGAATCTCTAAATGCATCTCTCACCACAGGTGAGCTCAGACTTATGGCGAAAGATGATATGTTTTACTACTATATTTTTCGCCATAGATGAGTTGAGAATTGTGGCGAAAGATATCATTTTTTGCCACAGTTGAGCTGAAACCTGTAGAAAAAAATGATATTTTTTATCACTGTATTTTTCAACACAGGTGAGCTTAGACTTGTGGTGAAAAATGATATGTTTCGCCATAGTTCCGCTTGACCTGTAGTGAAAAATGTCTATTTACTACCACATAATTTTCTATTACAAAGCTTCTTCTGTTGTGAAAAATGTGTTTTAACTGTGGTGAAAAATGTTTTTTGTACTAGTGGATCCAACTGTTGAAAAGGATGAATTGGATGTTACAAACCTAATGACCAAATTTAAGCCCAATCCAACAATGAAAAAATTCAAACACATTGATTTACCAAAACTGCTTTGTGAAGATGCGAAAAACAACTGTTATGGATGATAAAGTTAATAACCTTCTAATCATGAACCTAATCAATGATCTAACAATTGAAAAGCACGATTTGGATGTTATGAATCTTATGATCAAATTTTAGCCCGATCTAAATGAATGAATTCATAAAGATTGATTTATCAACGTCACTCTATTTAGATGTGAAATAATTTTCTCTTTGCTTCTCTCTCAATTGGTTGTAGCTTAATCTCAAATATAATCTTTCTCTCAGGACCTACTTCAATGCATATCTTCTCTGCTTAGTGAAACTTACAATAGGCTTCAATATTAGGCCCTTCTTCACATAAGAAGTGTCCAAACTCATTAACCTCAAATTTTCTTAAAACACAATTTAATTATTAATTAAACCTTATAATTTTTTTAAATTTAATTTCTAAACAAAAACTGAATCTTATAATTTTCTTAAATTAAATTATCAAATAAAAATAGGATGTTGCATATAACTGTTAACATCTTTATAAAAAATAGTCTCAAATTATATATTATATATGTAAATTGTTCAAAAATAAAGTTAGCTTTTAGTATAGATCTAATTTTTTAATTTTTGAATTTTTTTAAATTTTTTAAAGATTTTTTATTATTATGTTTGAAACTATTCAATTTTTTAAAAATTGCTCCAGTTCTTTGTTCAACTAGTTTTTGGCTTAATAGTGACTCAACTTTGATCTAATTCGGCTTAGTTATCAAAACGGTGTTAATGGCTTTAGTCGACGATCGAACTGATCCAACCATTCTATTTAGTCTCTAACCTTTCAAGATCCTCAAGGCAACATTACCATCATGAATACCTCTCTTCAATTACTATGTCCTAGCCTTTAAACCATGATGGAAGGAGCCAAAAGGAACCCAAGTCCTCTCATGCTTTCATCTTCTCCTCTTTAATCCAACATTTTTGTCCCTATTCAACTCTCCACTCAATCTCAACTCTTGGTGATAACATAATAAGGGAGAAGAATGAAGATGCATCAGCTTCCCAAGGAGAGGATTGAGAGCTTTTATAAGAATTTCTTGTGTATTTCAATATATATTTGTTAACATGTACTAACTCTTGTTTATTGTCTATTAACTCTCCTTATATGTGAAGTTATTAATCATTACAGTATTGTTCCTATATTATTGTCTTTAGCTTTCTCTTCTTAAAGGGGAGACTCAAAATCTCCTCTAGAACTAATCTAATTGCATCTAAGTTTTGTCATTATCAAAAAGGATGAGAAATGTAAAAATATGTTTCTCTAGTTTTGGTTATGACAAAGTAAGAGAATATTTTGTGTTTAATAGGGTTAATTTTCTCATAAATTTGGCAAGATTGAAAGTTCGATTGCTCTCTTAACCTTCTATCATTTTTGTCAAAACTTTTTAAATCTTAGAAGTTTTTTGAAAACTTTAAAGTTCCTCTATCTTGATGTACCTTCACAAAAACTTCTTAATTTGTTCTTTCTTCAAAGTTTGTGTTACCTCAAGCTGATTATTTTTCTTCAAAGTTCCTTTAAATCTTCAAAGATTATGTGCTTCGTATTTTTTTAAAAGAAAAAGAAAAAAGAAAAGCTTCATAGTATATGAGATCTTTGGGCTTCCCGTAAGATTTTTAAAGTTCTATAAAACTTCTATGTTTTTATTCTTCTTTTTGGTTGTTTAATCTTAAGTATTAAATCATTGAAGTTTCTTGAGACTTCAAACTTTTTGCTCTCAAATTTTTTTCAAGATCTTCAAATCTTCAAAGAATTTCCTTCATGCTTTCTTGATTCATTTCTAGATGTTAAAATCTTTAAAGTATTTCAAAACTTTGAAGCTCTTGCTGCATCTAAATTTCATATCTTTGAAATGATTCTTTTCTTTAAAAATCTTACTCTATGATCGTGGCATGAATTTCATATGTGCACTCGAAATCTTTAAAGTTTCATAAAAACTTCAAAGTTTCTCTACTTGTCCAAATTCAAGAATCATTTATGCATTTGATTAACCTTTTAATTAAATTTAAAATTATTCATTATCTTTCTAAACTCATTTATTTTCATATTAACATGTCCTAATCTTTGCATTTAACATTAAACTTATTTTATCTCTTCAATCCATATTTTGCTAAAAATTTCAATCTTTAAAGTTTTTCAAATCTTTGAAGTTCTTAGCTTCAATAGTAATAATGTCAGGCATTTGATAGTTGTTTCTTGTTAATCCAGATGTTAGACACTTTACCCAATGCTTTTTTTCACTTATGATGCTAAGTTTTCTTGAAAATACACATTTATAAGTCTAACATATATATGGCACGAAGACACGAAAAAAGAACTCAGTTATGAATACCAAGGTAGAGAAGTTATAACACACATTGTTTCATTAATATCCACAAATACTCTTCTGCACTTGTCTTCAATTTGCTAAGAGCTTCATTAATTATATATGTATTTTATATAGAATTACTTGAGATTTTGATCACTTTGTGATCTACCTTGTTTTCACATACTTAAAATAGATTATCTTGAGTTCAAGGAACTCCAATGGGTGATACATTACCTTCATAAGGGAAAGTGTTTCAAACTTACATAGTTTATATTGTACTAAGACATCCAAAAACCCAACTCAATTTTAGAGGATATAATAAAAATTCCTAAAAAGTAAGATTGGAAACTGGACATAGGCAAGTGGTTGACCAAACAAAAATAAAGCTCTCATGATTTTCTCCTTTATTCACTTCAACACTTACAATGATATTATTATTCTCTTATCTCCTTGATTAAATTTTATATGCCAAAATTTTTTATTAACTTAATTGACCCCCTTTTGGGTACTTCTACAATAATGCTGATGAGCTTCCTTGTTTGTGGACTCTCTTGCTATATGTATTTGACACAATAATCTCTTTCTTCCCTATTCTTCTCCAAAGCCAAGTTCTAGATCTATCACTTTTCCATGTTTGA